TAATATGAAACGAAATAGCAAGGTAGTCAGCGCAAAACTTGTTGAAGAGTTACGGGTTGATGGTAATTAAAAGTGCTTAGAGAGCATTTTTGAAATGATTGAGATTTTTTAATGGATAATTGTGAGGAAATTGGAATGATTTTAAGCTTGAAGTGGTTGAGATTGTTGAAAAGTTGAATTATCTGGGGTACAATTGAGTTAAAGTAGTATTAATCGTTGTGTACAGTAGGAAAGTATAATATTTACTGTCACCAAGTTTTAAGATCATCCTGTTATGCATGAAAAATTTACATTTCACCCCAATTATCAAGTCAAATGTTCTTTGAAGCAACCAAATATTAATTTTTATATCTAGTCCACATAACCATTAAAAATCACTCAACCCAAACTGAACTAAACACCCTCCAGTGTCCCTAAGAAAGCAGCTCTTGAAACCAAATATATATCATTTATGAGCAAGTGAGCAAGCGAGTGAAATGGAGAGATAAGTCCATGTATAGGTAACATGCAATTAACTCTAAACATGAGTGGTGTGTACTTATGTGCATGAGATGGCAGAAAATAGATGTTAAATAAATTTATGGTTATTTATTGGGGACTCTTTTATTATGGACATGCCGCATAATATGAAAAACCAGTCATTTTAAATATTGTTATTATAATTTATGAATTATGGAGGAAAAAAAATTGTGGATATTTGAGGGAATAATAATTGACATTGGTAACGATATTTATCATAATAATAATAATATTCATAATTATTTATTTTCGCCTTTTTTTCTGTTTAACTCGAAATATTTAATTAATTAAAATTAATTTATTTGCACGGAGAGTTTATTAATTTTTTATGAATATTCTGTGCCGTGATCCATTTGCTATCTCCATTTCATTCATGTACAATATGCATATTTAATCGTATCAATACTGATGCCCCTGTTGTGGCTGACTATAATTTTATTTTTCATGCACAATTTGACTCGTACACAATTCAATAGTTTGCATGCGCGTGTGTATGAACATTGGTTCCAAAAAAAAATAAATAGATTCTCTTCTTTTTTGCACGTTGTAGACATTCAACTCGTCATTATTGTCATTTGAAAAGATGAGCTGGGGATAAGTACATTTTTATATGTCTGTTCCATCTCACTCACCCATTCACATCATCGAGTACCCTCCCCCACACCAACTAGCTTTTATATAAATTCCTCTGTCCTCGTTTCATTTACGTAATTAGTGCTATTAATAATGGATTTTGAATTTTGCGGCATTCGCTGCTTTTGTATAATGTCTGCATGCATGTGCTTTTTGGTATTTTGACATTCAATTGGATTATTCATATTCATGATTTAATCTACTCTTCTCTTCGTATGTACAATAATGCTGCTTGCAGATCAACAGCCAAAAAACACAATTTTTTTCCTCTGTGCAATGTGGATTAAAATTTTTCATATATAAAATTCGAGAAGTGAAGCCAGCCAACAGATGAGAGAGTGGAGATAAAACTCAATCTCATATTGCATATATTGGAAAGTATAGGATGGCTATTATGAATATTTTTTTGGCCACATTGCCAAGAATTCTTCTTGTGCTTGCTTTTTTTTGTGAAATTTGACACGATGAAAAATTTTTCGGGTTGCTGATTTGGTTTGGAAAATGTTTTGGGTTGTGAAGCTAAGCGCATTTCTGGTAAGTTGAATTTTATAATTGGATCCATCAAAAGTGATATTATAGCAGTTAAGACAGTCAAAATGAGAATTTTTATCAGCATTCACACGAAAACAAATCACGAGACCCAAAAAAAGCTTTAAAAAATTCCGACAAGCAAAAAATGGGCATCAAAGTGATATTGGATTTGTATTATATTACAATTAGTTGCTTAAATGTTCTGCTCATCCACCGTAATGAATGATAATGCTGTTAAAAAATACTATGCACTCGTTTCATGTCCTCCTCAACTTTTAATTTATTTTTGTTTATGTTTTTTAAACATATACAAATATCATTGAGTATGAAAATTAATCCGGAAAGTGATGCCAACAGAAAAAATAAAAGTAAAAATAAAACTTTATAAATAATTTATTATTATTTTCTTCACTCATGTTAGTTTCTGCGGTTTTTCTTCATGTTTTCTGGATGAGTTTTATTAATGATGTGAGAAATATTAAAAGTTGTACAAAACATCTTCGTTTGTTGTTTGTTATGGTCGATTTAATTCTATAAAGAAAGCTTCTGTTGAATAATTACGATGTTATTCAGCTCAGGGTTGGCATTTTTTGGAACAGAAATTAAATAAAGCTATCCTACCAACCCTGCAATTGTTCATTCTCCAGAGAATAAAATAAACAGAACAATTTAATTCATTTAAAGACGATGAAAAATGAAAGTGAAGATGAAGTCATGTTTGAGAAATATAAGAATTAATTAAGAATTGTTCTTTTTGTTATGGAAGTTTATGTTTGAATTGTTAATTAACATCAAACTGTAACATGCTTTAATCTGTGAAATGTTTTTATTATGAGCAGATTTTGATGAGTAATGAAACGTAGTGATTAATGTTATTATAGAGTTAATAACTATCTAAGTGAATGAATGGCTACTGGATTTATGTGATGGGTGTTATTTGAAGTTTGAATTTTTAAATTTGATTCTTGGTTGGAAAAGGACTAGGCCTAGAATTCTTTACTTATACGTTTTCAACTTCAAGAATAAGTCGTTATCTTTTCCAGGGAGTAATGATCCCGTTGTATCTTATAAATAGCTAAATTATAAAATTTTCTCAAACCTTAAATCGAAACAATCTATTGCATCCATATTTCGTCAATTTATATTTTTTTTGTGACATCACTTTACAATTTTCACGTTCAATTTCACACTTTACAGTTTCAATATTCATAAATTTCAACTGTAAATTACTTCAATTATTCAAATAAACTAAAGCCGCAATTAATGAACAATAAATGAATTACAAATTAATAAAACAAATTTTAAATTGTGTTCCTGTCACCACAAAATTATCGACTAAGAGCATTTATCGATTAATTAATTTCAATTCGATCAATTCGAACGTTAAGCTTTCATTAAAAACTAGCAGTACGTTGTTAACTTTATCTCTTTAACTTGAAACTGAACAAAAGCTTTTTCGATTTAAAAAACAGATAATGAACAAATATTTTACCTCGTATAAAGTATCGATTGCGATATGCTAACATATTTATTTGCTTCAATGTCGATGTGGATGTTAAAGAAACAATTTTTTTTCTTCTTAATTATCAACACAGACTCTGTCAACAGTGATCAAGAGATTGTTTGCTTTTTAAACTGACAAAATGTGTGTTTGACGGTTGAAAGTGTGAAAAAAATTTCAATTTGATAATTAAAGGCTTGTTTGAAATGGATATGAACTGTAAATTTCAAAAGAATTTTTTAATAAGTCTGTTTTTCAGAGATTTCTCTGAATCTTGTAAAGATTTTCTAGAATTGAAGACCACAATCAACATACTATCCAGTAGCAGTAACCCCAGTGTCAAAATAATACACAAACCTGACCCCATTCTCTATCTTTTTTAATCTATTTACATTCAACATAACCGGATAATTCTCCAGTAATTCCCATTCATTATAACCGGTAAGTTTCACATATCCACAATACTAATCCAATACGAAATGCACAATTATCAGATTACAAAGAAGACTTCTTTTTTTTATGCACAAAGAAATGGAAAATTAAACCTGTATTGCCTACTGATCAACATAATAATGCTTTATCTTCTCATTTTGCTTAATGCTTAATTCAATTCCATTCCTTTTCCTCTTTCTGCTCATTTCGCTCGTGTCTCTTTTGCTTTTTCTTTCAATTCGAATGAGAATTTATTTATTTATTTTTTTTATCTTATTTCAATTCATGTTAAGGATGAGTGTTGGGTAGACTTTTTGAGAAGATTATGGCTAAAGCGCATTTTGTGGATGGAAATTTTGATTTTTGATTATATTTGAATTTGATTTGAATTGATAAGGACGCGTTGGAATGATTAATAAAGAGTGTCACGTAAGTCAAGTGATTTTTGAGTTGTATGATTAGAATTGAATGGTATTTGAAAGACCTGGGGTAAAAATCAGGATCAACAGACATTTGTTCTAATTTATAAACTAGTTAATCATCATTATGAGTAGTTAAAACTCTCGTTAAAGCCAAAAATCTTTGACTTAACATCAAATTCACAAATTTTAGTCTATATCAGACAAACCAACAGTAAATTTGTGTTTCTATAGCCTAATCAAAGATTACAATTTCAGTGCAACCCAGACACCCAAAATAACACATTTTATGTATCCTCACACATCCCAAAAGCGCGCTAAAACTTAAGTGAAGGCAAAAAGAAACTGCGAAATGAATAAATAACAATGTTTCTTGTATTGTATTCAATTCTATTAGCCATTTATTTATGTTTTGTCCGCAGATATCAGCATAAACAGTAGTAAGAAAGTAAGTAAGTGGATGAGATGAAGATAAATGCGATTTATGCAGAAATGGTAGAAGAAAACAGAATAAAAAAAATACACACCACACTATTGCATGGATTTAGCTGATCGGATTGTCGATAATAATCTCTTAGTTCTGTTTTTTTGTGCTTACATTTTACATTTCTATGTTAAAACATAAATAATTCCGGATTCTAATTTGTATATATGCTTACTTATGTAAATGTTTTACATCCCCTCTCATCCCCCACAACACACATAAGCGAATAAATCGTTTGTAAGATGAAGATTGTTTTTCAGAAATATGCATACACATAATAAATGTGTAAAAAAAGGGATCATGTATATAAAGGAAGGAAAAGTGGAACTTAAAAAGTTTCATTTCTTGGGTTTTTGTCGGATTTTTCATCTTTTTCTCTTACTTCGTTATGTCGTATCTACAAACCGTATGAATACAAAACCCCATATACATATATATATTCTCTATAAAAAGGGATGAAAAATAATTCTTTATTGCTTACCTTATCATCATCGCCCTCGCTATCACACTGTACAAATGTTAAGTTATGAAGATAGGAGAGATAGGTAGAAGCAGCACCATAAATGTTGTGTATATGGTGGGCAGACACGCAAGGAGGAAGTTGAAAATAAAGAAGAGAAGAAAAAAATATGTTAAAGATGATGCTCATGTGAATGAATATAAAATAATACTTACGATATATCCTTTTCCTGAACTACATCGACTGCTTGCCTGCTTGTGGGAAGAGAGTAAACGATAAAAAGTTATGAATGAAAATGTATTCTATTCTTTTTGCACGCACATACAATTTGCTCATATGTGATTTAATATAAAATAGGTAAGTACTAAGTAGATAAGTCATCAAGTGGGGGGTGTGGATGACTACAGAGCAGTTTTGTCAATGCTTATCATTAAGTTAAGCTTTGAGATTTTTGTAGGTTTTTTTTAATTTATGAGCATTGGATTTTCTTATCTTTATCTGAATACAATGAATTTTTGCAATATTTTGACCATGCCAATTTTAAAAGAGCTTAATGTCTTTGGCATTTTATCAAAAATTCTAGCTTACTGCTTTTAAATTCCTCAATAATCCAAACATATCTAAATAATCAATAACTCATCCCACCTTACCATCAAAATGACAAATCACATCCGTAAACCTGACAAAAATAAGACAAAACAATTCACTTACATCACTCAATCGATCTCTCGAACTATCCTGATCACGTTGTGCAACTGATGACGTTGTCAAGCGCTCAGAGGCACGTCCACTGTCATCAGATGTACCAGGATCGTGGTTAAATGCAATGTTCTATAGAAAAAGAAAGTAAAATGAGAAGAATAAATAAATGCACGAATGAGCATACATGAGGATTGTGAGAAGCCGATGAAATGTAATTTAATGCAATATATATACAAATAGTCATAGCTATAAAATAGTAATGTAATGTGAGAAAACCAGTTTTGTTTATTTGTTTCAAATACAAAAAAAAAGAAAAATGGTAATAAAGTTAGAAGAAAAATGACTTTGAGGTAATGACAGAAATATAGATAGCTAAATGCTAATAGCCTTTACACTAAGTAGCACTAAATCCTTCTGCTTCATTACTTTATTGAGTGAGGGTAATGGAAGAACGAATGGTTGTAGAAGTGAAATGGATATCAAATGAAAATTAAATGGAGAATAAACTCAGATGGAGAATTGAACGAGTCTAGTGGGACTTTTTTTTTGTGGTCTGAATTTTTATTGAATGATTTTTGCGAATTTGCTGGAAACAGGTAGTATCGATATTTTGGTATGGCTAGTAGAAATAGAATCGTAAACAACTTGAATTTGAGTATCAATTCCGGGTTTTAGATTGCAAAAAAAGAGTTATTGATGGAATTTTAATTGGACTTAATCCTTGCATTTAGCTACAGTAATATTTTAGCAATCATTTGAAATAGGATGTAAAAGGTTTATTTTGAAAATGTTTCTTAAATGTTTAGCTTAATACTTTTGTGTGATATAGCCAATAATAAAGCATTTCAAGGTTCATTTCCCTCACATAACAAATTATTCTAAATACAAATATTTGTCAGCATCAACATCTTAATTCTCAAATCCCCCAACTGTTTTCAATAAACTACTCTAAAGACAAGATGACAATAATTTAAATAGTCTAAATTGTAACTTGAAAATATTTTAAAATAATCAAAACAGGAATTTCAATTTCAAATCTTAACAAGAAATTCTTTTCATTCACAAAAATATTTTTTCAAGTGATTTTAACGAATGCGATTTTTAAATAATTTTGTCACCAGAATTGCCGTCTTAAATAAGTTTAATTAGCATCATTTTCATAAATAAGCTTCGTCTTGATTTGCCGAAAATCTCCTCGCACAGAAAAAAAAATATTCAAAAAATTCAATCAATTCCGAGAGAAAAATAAGATATTTTTATGAGTTGACATTTTTTGTAATAATCTGTTGAAAGACTTTAAATTTAACATCTTTATGGTCCCCACAATGCTCTTCCGTCACACAAAATTTCTCGTGTCGATGAAAATAAAAACACATAGAGTAATTTTTCGTTCACAAAAATATTTAAATAATTAAAAACCCACAAAAGTAATTAAAAGAAGTTAAAATTAAATTTAAAGATTTTTTTTTCCTTAAAGTCCCCCACTTGGTATAGATACAAAATAAAAGAAACAACAATAAATGACAATAATAGTACACAATAATAAAAAAGAAGTGTCATTTAAAAAGCGAGTGAGTGAAATGGAAGCATAAAATATAGCACTAATGGGAGGCAATAAAAGAAAATAAAAAGAAGAGCTCGAAAAAAAATATTAAGTAAGTACAAAACAGTCAGTGTTATAATCCTCAATATTTACAAGTATTTAATACCCATCTATAGCTATAACGTACATAAGTATTTAAAGGGAAGACATTAAAAGGTATTAGTAGTAAGAAAAACAAAAAAGTTGGGAATTTCTATTTGAATGGATTATAAACGCATGTTTTTTTTGGGTAGAAATGAACATCTGCAAAATGTTATTTTATGATTTGAATGGGATTTATATGACGAGAGACAATTTTACAGCAGTACTTTAGGATTTCGGGTGACAATAAAATTTTTAGAATTCTGTAGAATATGAGTAAAGGCAATTGTGAGTCAAATAAAATAAAATTTTTATGTTTTTACTGGAAAATGTAATCATTTTTGCTTGTTTTAGGATTAGACGCTTTAATGAACACATGGTTAGGTTTCTATAGCTATCTGAAAGACCCAACCCTTGATTTTTAATTAGTGAACTACATTCAGAGATGTAAATGAAATTTATCTTTATCTAGGGCTACGCCAGATAAGTGAAGACTTATGAACGATTGTAGTGCCACAAAAGTGTCCACTCCTTGAATTAATCTGTCATTGAAAAAAAAAATGGTACTTAAACTTGCAAATGAAGGATTTTAATAGTTAAATCACGGAATTAGTCGTCATTAAAGTAAGTTAAGTGTGATTTTATGTAGTTTTAATGAAGTTCTTGACTTAAAACTGCTTAAAACAGAAAATAAAATTTTTTATACTTAGTTGCACTTTTTACAACATTATTGAGCAATTTTTTTAAAATAAGTTTGTTCTTTTAGTCTGATAATGAACTTGTTTTGAACTTGGCCGTGTCACAAGTCGTCTCCAAAAATTATGAGAAAAAAAAATCATTTAAGATCAAGCGAAGTATTGAAATAATTAACACATTCGTCCTAATAGTCTGACAATTAAGTCATATTCATATCAGCACTCACATTTCCATCATAAAAGAAATAATGCATAATATGCAGAAAACAAAGTAAGTTCTCCGAATGAAAGGCAATATAGTAATAAAGATAATGAGACGCTGTCAGTGCAATATCCTCAGTAAGTCTCGTGAGTATCGCGGCATATACACTCAATACGACTAACATGTATATGGAAAGGAATTAAGTAAGATTATATGAGATAGGAAATAAGTCAGTCAGACAGTAAATATTCTTTACATTATTATTATTACTGTAACATGATCGTATTAACACATATTGCATTAAACTAGCATAAAAGCTGTAAAAGAAGTTAAATGAAAGGAAGTAAAACTTACATTTGTTGTGTGTGTTATATGATGATTATTATTCTTATAATTCCATTCACGCTCTCTATCCCGTCCATCGCCATGTTCATCTTTAATCTGACCGGTATCGATTTTTGGTAGCTTATCTTCTAACATTATAGTCGTCAATTCTGTTATTGCCGATAATCGTTTTTCGTTACGTTTATTAGCTAATTTAATTGCATACTGTAAATATTTACATTTTTTTGGTTCGTTCATAAAAAGAGAAGGAAAAAAAGAAAAGAGGAAAAAATTTTATTAGATCCATATAATTTAATATTGCTCTATAAAATAAACCCGTGTGTGTATATGTGTTTTTTTTTTGGATATTTATTTATTGTATATTTTACTGTGTGTAGATATAAATGTGAATTTTTATGTGATTTTTATGATCCACATTTTCCTCCTCAGCTTGACTTTATCAAAATCGAACGAAATGTGGAACAAGGAAAAGATGTGAGAAGATTCAGCAAAAACGTTTAATGTACACATTATGAAATGGTTTCTTATGAATGTATATCAATGTAATATGAAAAAAAAAATAATTCCGATATTTTTTTCAAAAAATATGCTTATGGATGGAATATTTTTTTGTGAAGTGAATCCTTGAGGAAAATTGGCATCCATTCAACTAGATTTCATTGAATATATTTTTACTAATATTTTTATTTAGATTTTCTTTTTTAAATTTGAGTTGAGCTGAATATTTATCAAGTACGGCTGGTTGTTTATCAAATAACCACAACCACAGAGCTAATCTCGATTTAATACAACTTGTTATACACAGTAATTAACATTTATGACACAAAATATTGTGAATTTCTCACGATTTTTATAAGAAATATTTATGAAGGTCATTTCAGTGATCTGACATGAGATTTTGATGCTTAAAGGCTCAATAAAAACTATCATAACACAACTTAAACAAACTTAATTCGAAATCAATGAATGGAAACCTTAAAAATCCCAAATTAAAACTCAAAAGTTAATCATCTGAAAATCACTCAAAAATCCATTCCAAACCTACTCAAACTTAACTTTCCATTCAGCAATAACAAGTGAAATTTGCAACTTATAAAGTCATTGACTGTACTTCGTCATGCATGAAATAAATCAATCAATCAACCGAACATACTCACTGCAAAAATTGTGACACAAGCGATTCCGTGTTGTAATCAAAAATCATATGTAATACGACCACATAATTCTCACAAACGGAAAATAAGTAATAAAAACTTATTGGAGAAGCAGAAATTTGATCCAAAGATCAACTGCATCGATTGATACTTAAATATTTTTATAGGTAGTGAATTGAATTTATATCAAATTTCATGAAACACGTTTTAATCATGAGCCAGTGATTATGGAATTGTGATATTGAATATCAAGTAAATTGGGAGTGAAAATTATATGTTGAGTTACATAATAGGTTAATAGTGTAAAGGTGAAAGTTTCAAATTTCTAAGGAATTTTGCGATAATCTGCAGTCAAAAAATTCATGCATCATGTTCATGAATGTAAAAGTTTGAGATAGTTTGGATGGTATGTTATGTTGCTGATGTGGCTGTCAAGTTGTGAGATTAAAGTTTTAAACTAGAAAGACTTATACAAACTTTTGAGTGTTCTTGGAATTTCAATATTTAAGAATTCAGTAATAATTTAAGAATTACTTTGTTGTGCCTTTAGTGACGCAGCAAAAGATATAACCAGACACTATGGAAGTGTTTTATATAAAGAAGCTTAAACTCAATTAGACTTGAATTTTAATTCCAGCTTTAAGAACCAAAATTAGTCTCAAAAATCCACATTATCCAACAACCAAACGTCTGCTTAACTTGCATCCAGTGAACATTTCTTAAATTTCTACAAAATTATTTCCAAAAATCTCATTTTATTACAAATAGTCATTCCCAGATACCCAAAAATACATTTTATTGATCCCAGAAAAAGTCAGTAAAATAAATTTGATTTATAGCACATGGCAGACATCCGCCTGACAGGCAATTCTCACAAAGATTTTTTTCATTAAAATTTCTCAAAGTAAGTGGCTTGAGTGATGCAAAACTGACACGAGCTAATCATCAACATGACTTAATAGTCAAAGCCACTTAACCAGTTATTGATTTCACGAGTGATGACATGTTTAATTGTCTCTAACACCTTATTTAAGAAAATAAAAAATAGTTGAGAAGTATTCAAGATCATTAAAAGTTAATGTCGGCAAGTACTTATTTTTCTGTTGAAGGAATTCCAACTATTTTCAGACTAATTCCGATATTTTCTATTTTTGTTCAATTGGAAGTTTGCAAAACTAAACATAAACATAGCACGGAACTTGTTTTTGCAACTTTAAAAGTAAATATTAATTATCAACTAATTCAACAAGCATCAACTTCCTACAAGTTGACTCAATCCTTCAATTAAAATTTTTTTTCTTGCTTTCTTTCATTCCATTCAACTTATAAGTAAAACAAACAAAATATCATCATGAAGAAATCTTTCAGTATTCTTGCAGTGTAAACAACTAAAGAAATAAAGTAACAAGAAATTTTTAAGAAGAGGAAAAAAAATGAAGCAATTGAGTGAGGAATTGAGGAAGATAGAGCAAGAAAAAAAACTAAAAATATACAAAAAAAGAAAATTCATTTCATCCACATGAACATCACGTATCGTTTTCCGTTACGGAAGAAGTAAAAAAAAATATAAAGTTTTTCATTCCATATTTTTTTTCTTGCTTGCTTGGTCTTCTTCCTCGAATAAAGACTAAACAACTATAGAGGGAGAGCGAACAGCCCTTAGGGGAACATTTTGTAGAAGATTAAGGAACTGTCATTAGAGGGGCTTGTTTCAGTGGATGGATTTGAGTTTATGTCTTCAGAAACTTTAAGAAATTAGCTAGTTTGAAGTAAGAAACTGATGCTGATCAGTGACGGAGGAGATAAGGAAGTTGTTTCCTAATTACTCTGAAATTGAGATATTGATCACTGGTTTGAGACACAACAGGAGGAAATTTTTCACTTGTCGTCTTTTGGAATCATTTGCATTAGAAATGAGCCTCTAAAGCCTTCCTTTGTAAGCTTTAGAAAGTCAAGTCATCAAAGAAGCGATTTGGAACTACTGGTGTAGGTTTCAATGGAAGCTCTAATTATCAATAGCAATGCAGATATGGCATCTTAAGATCTAAACAGTTAAAGATGACTTCCATTTCTATTTAATCTCACTTTACCATGGATTTAAGAATTCAAACAAATTAAACACATTGAAAATAATTGATTCCACCAAAAGTGCCAATTCTGAACAAAAACCTTATTTTCTATCTAAAAACCCTCCAGAGCTACAAATTGACTACACCAAAAAAAAAAAATCTAACGAAATTCACCCCAAAGGGAAATAAAAAGAAAATGTAATAAAATAAAGGAAAAGAAGAAAAAGCATCAAGAAAAGCCGATTGAGGGTGGAATGGAAAATTGTATAATGTTATCGGATATGGAGATTTTCAGGTTTTTAGCCTAGCGATAATATCAATATCTTTCCATCTTTTTTCCTTAACATCGTTTTGTGTGTACAATTTCTCCTGTCAGATATTACCGTACACATACAATAACAACAGCATTTACGAAATTGGCAGCAAAAAAAAAGACAAGACAAGAGAAATGGAAGTAGATTTAGCAAGAAATAAATGTGTGATATTGTTGTTTTAAGGATGATTTGAGCGCTTTGAAGTTTTAGATGTTGGAAATAGGAAATGAATGTCGATGTTATGAGATAAGTTGGTCTATCGACTTTTGTTTTATGTGAAAACTTTTTTGATCTTTTAATGCACAGTGACTAAATGATTTTTTAAGCCGGTATGTCATATATCCCAAATAATTCAAGATTCCACAACAATTGATTACTTTAAATATCAAATTCCATTAATATCCGACAAAATGCCTCCGGATCTTCCTCTCATCACCCAAAAATTGCGTCACGACAGATCGAAAAAAAAGGAAATCGAAGTAGAATTTATTGAAGAACAGCATTGATGTTAAGAAGGTATAAGAAGCGGCAAAAAAAATAGGAAAAAAGAGCAGATTGAATGTAAGTAAGTAGGAGTGAATTTACACAAGGATTTAAGGAGAAGAAAATTATTCCCTCATTGACTGTGAAAAGGATAATGCGAGACAAGCCGAGCCAAGAAAAAAAAACTTCAGCAATTCTTCTTCACATTAGGAAATGATGAGGAATTCTTCAGCATACGATATATGGATTCCGGAATAAGTAAATGAATAAATAAGTAAAGAAGATGAGATTGAATTTTTTTTGTTGAATTATCAGTTGCTGTAGTTACATCCACACACAATATTATCTCATCTCGTTGGCTTCACTCAATACCTCCACATTCATTTTAAATTATTAAAATTAATTGAAGAAAATATTCAACAACATTTTGCGGAGTTATTATCTGATAAATGTGAGATAATATAAAACAGATTATTAAGCAGATTTGATTATATTGTTGGGTAAAATGCCGAATGAAGGCAGTATATTATGGTAAAGAGGAATTTCTAGTAACTGATTGTAGATATATTGCGTTACATTTACACAAATAATCTCATGTAATTTGATCGAAAATGAACGGAAGGCTAAGGATTGAAATATTAATTGAATTAATTATGAGGTTGTGTAACAGATTTGGGCTGTTCCGCATTGTTGGGTTATTCGATAATGTTTTGTTTATAAATAGTTTAGTATTTTTGTGAACTGTCTGGCAGCTGATTGGATTTTTTTTTGTGGTTTCGCATTAGGTAAGAATTTGGATTAATTGATGCTATCACAAAGATAGGAACCGAGAGATTCTTTGGACAGAGAGATAGTCAGGACATATACCAAAAATATTAAATGGTGATGAGCTCTTAAAATTGGAATTTGACAGTCTTTATATAGGTTCTTGACTAAAGTGCAGATATTTCCTACTCACGAGTCCATTGTTTTAGTTAAGCCTTTTTAAAAAATCAATACAAAAGTCATCATCACATGATGAGCCGCAATCTCTAGTATTTAAATATTTACCACAAAATTAATTCTCATACCTCAATAATTGAATTATTCTCACGACAATAAATCCTCATAAGGTAAATATTAAGGAGATAATTTTAGTCAATAAGTACGTCATCGAAAATTCCTTAATTAAAAATCTATACTGA